GGCGCCGTGCACACTCGTCTTAACAATTTGCAAGAGCTTCAAAGATTGCGGGCGGATCGTGTTCAAAGACGTGGCTCTCGCCTTAGCGCCGCGCACATGTGCCTGAAAACCTTGCGAAAATGTCACGGGCTGAGGGCGGGCCATGTTTAAAATGTGACTCTCGCTTTAGCCCCGCGCACATTCACCCCAAGGGTTTACAAGGGCGTCACGAATTGAAGGCGGGCCGTGTACAACATGCGGATCTCGCCTCAGCGCAGCACCCATTCGCCTTAAGAAATTGCAAGAGGCTCACGGGTTCCAACGGCTCACGTACCAGAAATGGCGGTTTGGAACGATTCCAGGTAGTCAGGGCGCGACAATCACGTTGATGCGCGGTGCTGCAGCCCAGGGATGGCGCTCTGGCACGATTCGGGATCTCCAAGACGCAACAGGCGAGTTGATTCGTGACGTTGCAGTTCCGAGCATTGTGTTGTCGCACGCTTCAGGATCTTGCAACGGTTGTCTCCCGACGGGGAACTTCCTTGAGTGGAAATCAACCCTTGTAGGGGCCTGTGAAGTGGGAGCTCCGAGGGAGGGTTTTTCACAACATCGTTGATGAGTGTTGGGTTTACACTGGTTTTCATCCTCCTCCTCCTCCGTAGCCATTTTGGCTCAAGCCAGTTTGGTTCGAGCTTGCTCGATTCATGCGATGGCGCGGGATGGTCCTTCTTGGCACCAATGGCGGCCCAGGTCTGAGCGGGCAGCTGCTGCTCGTTCGGCCAGAGAGGCAGCCGAAAGGTCGATCGTCAAACTGCAGTCGGAGGTTCAGCATTTGTAGGCATTGCTCTTCCAGCACTACACGTCCGTTGCCTATCTCCTGGGCGTGGACGGCATCGTCGCAGATCGGGTACTGGCGATGCTTCTGGTGCTTGTGGCCTCCTTGTCGAAGGAATATGTTTCGGATGTGGACTCTGCGTGCATGTGGCCACAGCGTCTGCCAGAGTTCTTCGCGCTGCTCAGCGTGGCCCAAGGTTGGGAGCGGTCCCTGGGCGTGGTGTTGTCCATCCTGGACGTGGGCATCAAGGTGTACCGCAGGCTGGCGGTGCCCTTCCTGGTGATATGCCTTCTGCCAGGTCAGGGTCTGGATGCAGTGTGTCCCCGAGCATCCTCGGCATTCCGTGCACCTGTGGAGCCGTGAAGTTCCATTCGCTGCCTCAAAGGGGTTGGCTGCTGCCGATGCGGATGCAGGGCGTGGCGCAGCGGCTGTGGCTCCCGCTGACGATGTGCCTTCGCTTCGTCGTGTCGCGGAGACAGATATTCGTGTTCCTCGGCGTTCGGGTTCTCCTTCACCTCCTGATAGCGGGCGGGATGTAATGCCTGCTACTGGTTCGGCGGAAGTGGTTACGGCTACTTTTTGTTCGGACACTGCTGCATGTTCATGTTTGTTACACCCGAAGGAGGCACGACGGCTGGTATGTTTGCTCATGGTGCTCATCTTCAAGAGCCACGTGGAGATGATGGTGTTGGAGAATATTGGGTCAGAGGCAATGCGCCGAGTTCGCCTTCTGCCAACGGTCCTCTTCTGCACGAAGCGGAGGCCACATACGCCGCATGAGTCACCAGCCCGGTGCGCGCTTGGGAGCTGCGGGCGTCTTGAACGTCCGTTCGCCCACTCGTCAAGATGCTGGCACGTGTGCGTTCGTCGTGCACAACAATCCGATCGCGCCCAAGGAGTGCGGTGGCAGCGAGCAGGATGACGTCGGTTCCTTGCTTCGTGGCCTGGGAGCTGCTCTCTGCACGGTGAGTTCGGCGAGTTTGAGTCCTTCGGGCTGATACTCTGCCTTCGGTGCTGCTCTGCTCCTTCGAGGTGGTCTTCATCGACTAGTGGTTCTTGCTGCAGGTTATGGAGGTCGTCCTCAGTCAGTTCTCGATGGTCTTCTGTGGATGGCGCAATTTTGCGTCAGACCTTCACACTTGTGGTCGGTCCTTCGTCAGGTTGAACTCCTCCTCCTCCTCCTCCTCCTCCTCCTCCTCCTCCTCCTCCTCCTCCTCCTCCTCCTCCTCCTCCTCCTCCCCCCTGTCGAACACATGCCGGACACGGAGTACCAGGACCCCAGATGGACTAGTGGATGCCCACCAGCGCGTCCTGCTGCTCCTCCTCCTCCTCCTCATCATCATCATCCTCCTCCTCCTCCGCCTCCTCCCC